CAATTATTTCTGCCTTGTTTCTTGTATGTAAAGATGCTTGCTTCTAAAGCTGGGTTTGGGAGATGTTTTGGTATTGGGGGAAGGCCCCCATTTTATTATAGTCTATTGAGATTTTCTTTTTCCTAGTTATAAAATGCCTCCTTCAGTAAATAGGCAAATCCCTGCAACAAAGCTTCAGAAGGAAAAACTTTTACTCTCTAATGTAGCTGCTTCTGTTTTTAATGGGAGGGACGGAGGACCATTCTAGTTTATTAAGCTGCCATCTGTGCTTCGTGCTTCTTTGAGGAGGGGCCATGTTGCAATCGCAAAGTATAAAAAATGAGAAGAAAGGTAAGTTATCACCAGCAGGATGTTGACTGTTTAGCCTTAGCTTTAGCCCTTGGAGATCTGCATTTCTAAAGTCAAGTTTTCCCCTTAACCACCTAGCGTAGTTCTTGCTTGCCCCTTCAGTTTCTTTGGCCTTCACTAGGCTAGGATTTAAAGCGGTGAGAATAGCATGTATTGGCCAACATGTTCAACCTAGCCCATTTTCTACATTCCCCTTAATATGTGCTAAGCTCATTTTCCCCGACCGAGTCTACATAGCAGCTAGGAGGGTATTTCTCAGATGTGCAGCACACTAAAATTAAGTGTGATCATGATGGTATAGGCAGCTGCTCACAGAAGCCGCTGGAATTTAGACTCAGGGAGTCAGACAGGATTATACTCTGGTGGCTAGCCTGACCCACTGCCCATGTCATAGCAGCCATGCTGTTATTTTTAGCGTGCTAGGTGGAGCAAAGCCAGTGTGTGTCCATCTACTCATGCTGGGAAGTACCTAAGGCTCCCACTATGCTTCTCACTCAGTCAGCTTTGCATGTTTTAAAATCTGTACGTATCCATGCTGGACCCTGCAGTTCTAGCCTTGTCCATCCCTCCATGTTAGAGGGAGAGGTAATATCTTTTATTGGGCCAACATCTGTTGGTGAGAGAGACGGGCTTTTGAGCCATGCAGTCATCTTCAAGGCTGAGAGAGATACTCCGCATGTGATATAGGGATGTTAAATATTGGCCCCACTCCCAAGGAGCGCCCTGCCACTTTGTGCTGTTGCCTCTGTATCAGAGGCAGTAGTGTGGGGTGCCAGGTGGGAGCTGATCTGCAAGGGGAGCCAGTTTAAAAACAAGCTCCCCTTGCAGACCAGCTGCCTGTTGCCCTGTGCTGCTGCTTCTGAGAAAGAGGCAGCAGCGCAGAGTGGCAGGGGCTTCTTGTGTATGAGAAGAGCCACTTTAAAAACCAGTTCCCCTCATGGACTAGCTGCATGCCACCCTGCGCTGCTGTCTCTGATACAGAGGGTCTGAGCTCCTGGACTCAGCACTAGCCAAAACTGAGCCGGGCTGCCTGCTCCTAATATACTTTAAATGCAGAGCTTCAGTGGGAGTAGGTCTCGGACCCATTACAAGCCAGGACTGAACCAGGCTGCTGACCAGCTTGCTAAATAATGTACTGGCATGGCATGGGGTGGGGAGGGGAGAATGCACGTGTTCTATAGCATTAACCTGAAAGCTTTTGCTTTTCGGTTAATTGATTAATCAACTACACCAGGGCTACTCAACTTTGGAAGCCGCGGGGGCCACAATGATACTCACAGCACATGCTGAGGGCCACAACTTAAGTGTGATTGCAGATATATGCAAATATATATGCAAATAGCTCCTGGTACCTCCTCCCTCAGGGCTAGGAACACCGACACCCTGTACCTGCCTGTTCCAGCCAGCCCATCTGCTTGCATCTTTTAGTGCTCACCCCGCCTGGGAGATGCCTTACTGTTGTGGAGCGTGTTCCCAGTGGAGGCCATGTTCAAAGGATCCCACCCAGGGGCTGCGTGTTGAGCTCCCGTAAACCCAAACTGCACCACTGGCCACAAACAAACGGGCCGCCGGCTGTATGCAGCCCACAGGCTGCTTGTTGAGTAGCTCTGGACTACACTATTACATCCCTATGTAACAGCTACATTCAAGGTAAAACAGATTGTTTAGCATAGGTAGTTAGCAAATATTATAAGGGATCATTCATGGTGAAGTGGTTCCTTAACACCTCTGTAGTCATGGGTCAGAAAGAGGGGCTGAATGGATTATAGTGTGTTGGAGTAAACCATAAATTCAGTGCCTCAGTTCTAGCTGTGATTTTTAGTGTCTTAGCAAAGTTATGAATTTAAATTCCAGACTTGTCTTTTGAAAGTTGTGCAGGTTCCTTTGAGAATGAGGACTGAGAGGTCAGCTGTTTTCCTGTGTGACTTCATTCAGGAGCATAGGTACACTGCATGTTGTTATAGGCATGAGAGCATAGTTATTGTCTGGTTTCATCCACGTAGCTCTTATTGGGCCATTTAATGCACTGGATGAGGTACACTGCATGTTGTTATAGGCATGTATAGGATCCATGGATCTTGAAAGCTGTTGTGGGAAGTGTTGATCAGATGTGTCTTCAGGATTTGTTATTTTGTGCTGCTTTGAGTTGTCGTGTCCTGGTCTGAGCCTTAGCAGGTGTACATTATCACATATATTCTACAGAATCTGTTGTTGTATTTTAGCATAACAGTTCTGGTTTTAAGTGGTGCATATTGCTAGTGTGCAATTGCAATACCATCCATTACAAATATTTTATTTGATAGTTTTACTGTCCTTTAAGAAGACAGATTATTAACATACCAAACAAACCAACAAAATCAAGTCTGTGTAAAGAGACTTTTTAAATATTAAATAAACTGCAACATCAGGATCTGCCTAAGCTCCAGGTAAACTCAAAGCAAAGGCTCCTGCGAATATTAATGAGAGTTGGAAATACTAATCTTTCATCCCAGACTTCATGGTTTTGCTACTGACCAAATTCTGCCCTTGAATATGCACCTATAAATCCTATTGGAAACAGGTAGGGAAGGATGGAAAGAAGGTAGAATTAGGTCCTGCTTTTGATAATGGTAGCAATAACAAAAATATCAAGAAAAAACAGACTCTACAAGTTTGGAAGAGCAGAAAGGGACTGAAAATGTTTGCTTAGTTACACAGGGAGTACATGTATGCTTCATGTATGCTGGATGCATGAGTATTACCTGTCATACCTTTTTAAGTGGGATGCCCTTTTAATGAAGCAGGTAAGATGTTGTCATTTTTATAGTTCCTTCTATTGTGTAGGCATGTATTGTATGCAGAGTTTGGATGGGGAGGGGAGTGAACTTGTGTTTAATTGTAACAGAAGAAAAAAATGAAAGTTGCCCTTCTTTGTCAATAATTACCCACACAATGTAAACAGTTAAACAGTAGAAAGGTCCTTTCATCTATCCTATTGTCTCAGCCCTCTTCCTTCCCCCCCCTCCCCCACTCCCGATCTGTGATGTCTGATATATCTTCTATGACTGTGCTTTCTCTGCTTCCCCCTCACTCTGTAATACAAATTTTATGGTGGCGGGTGCTGTATCCGGGCTGGATCCAGCTCGCCAAATGGGTTGATCTGGTATATCTTCTATGACTGTGCTTTCTCTGCTTCCCCCTCACTCTGTAATACAAATTTTATGGATCCAGCTCGCCAAATGGGTTGATCTGGACTGTGGAGGTCCTGCCCACATGCCTGCTTCCAGGCCAGTCAGGGCCGAGGGACGTGGGAGCGTTCAGGGCTTAGTCCACCTTGACTCTAAGCGCTGTGTGCTAGAGGGCAGGGAACAAGAGACTTCACACTACCCACACCCCCAGGTCATTCAGGGCCTGGAGGCGGAGGAAAATGCACAAAGTCTCCTCCCACCCTTCAAGGATCTTGACACTTAAAGTCAACCTTGGAGCTCCCTTGCAGGGCGGGGCAGACTTCATGCTCCTCCTGCCCCCACGCCCTGATTGACCTGGGGGCAGGAAGGAGCGGGTGAAGTCTCCTACCATCAGGGATGCCTAGAGGGAACTGCCAGCTCGGGGGGAGCAAAGACTTCACGTGCTCTCCCTCCCCCAGAACAATCAGGGGCTGTGGGTGGAGAAGCATGGAAGTGTCCTGGCCCCGCCCCTTCTGCCTGAGGCCCTGCTTCTTCTGGGGGCGGCCTGGGGCCACTTCAAAAATTTCTGAAGTGTCCCCGGGTCAAAAATTATTGCCCCACCCCTGTCCTAGAATCTGGAAGATTGTATACAATTGTGCATAAGCTAGGTCTGAGAAATGTGCTTACAATCATGCACTTAGACCCAGATTTTAGATCACCAGGATACAGAAGGCTTTCTGTTTCCTCCTTTGGGTATTAGATGCTTCCTGGATCTGGCTGTCTTGAAGGTCAGCCAGTGTGTTGTTAATTAAAACAAAGAAACCCAAAATCCTAACTCCAAGTTAAGGGGATGAAAAGGGCTAGCTGGGTTGGGTCTGGGTACACAGGTGCCGTAAGATGAAATGTGTCCTTTCCCTGTGTTTCTCAAATTCAGCAGCTTGAATTTTAATTGGTGTAGTTGTTCTGATGTAACCCCCTAGTGCAAACATAGTTTACTCTGTTTGCAGGTTCAGGTCCCACTTAATCCCAAGTGTGCCTTAAAATGGATAGCACTGACTGCAGCAGGGTTTGTGAGCCAGTGACCCTCAGCACAAAAATTCTTGAAAGGCATCTTCTCCTCATCCCCATCTTCGCATCTGTGTCCCTCCTTCCTCCTGTCTGCATTTCCTCTCTGTTGCCTCTCTCCTGCCACCTGTTCTGTGTTTGTCCCTCCTCCCTTCCCTTTTTTAAAAACATATTTTGACTTTTTCTATGGTTTGAATTTTCTATGGTGTTAAAGGTTTTTCTTCCGTTGTTTCAGTGTTCCTCATGCGCCTTCCCTTTCTCCCAGTGGTCTCTGCATGGACAGCCGCAAGAACTTTTGTACACACTGAAACCAGACACTGACAGGATTTCTAGTTTTTCCCGCCTCAGCTTTTTCCATGGGGAAAGGGTTTGTTTTACCTTTACTCACCACTGCGGCATCTCCTTGCTAGCT